GTCCAGTGGGGATGGCTGGTTGAACCCAGAGGCTCCATCCTCCTTTGCTTCTTTAGCTGGCAGTTGTATTTCCTTTTTGTCGCTGGCACTGGGTTTGGGGTCAGGTCTGAAGTAAAACTCAGTGGAAAGGTTACCTGTAGGAAAGGGAGCAAACCTAGAGAGAACAAACTTGTGAGTTACAAATAGAGGGGTTTGGGGGGGTGTTGCTTTCAGGTTTACTGGGGGAGAGGGTGGCAGAAAGTAGCCAGATAAAATTCTCTGGATACCCTAGGCATTTTTTTTCCTACCCAGGGGTCAGATGGCACAATCTGGGGACTGAGGAGCTCACTCTGAGGGCCATGACCGCTCGCCCCGAGCCGAGGGCCAAGGACAGCCCACCCTGGGCAGAGGGCCATGACGGCTCGCCCCGAGCCGAGGTTAGGCCTTCTTTTGAAAGCTGATATTGAGCTTTTCCACAGATGTAGTCAATCTGATTCCTGATTTTGCTATATCGTTAGGTCACTCTTTACATTTTTAAAGAAGTATTGTTATTGTTGATTGTGCCATTGGGTTACTTGTAACTCACAGTGACCTTATGTACAATAGCTTTGAACCTTGCCCTACCCTGAACAAGTCTCACTGCCTCCAACACACCTACTCCCTTTACCCTAGTTACTGTGTCAATCCACCTCATTCAGGATCTTCCTCTCCTGTGCTGTCCCTCTACCCTTCCAAGAATGATGTCTTTCTCCACACACTAGTCCCTCCTGGCACCATGCCCAAAGTATGTCAGATGAAGCTTAAAATCCTTGTCTCAAAAAAAAAAATCCTTGTCTCCAAGGAGAAACTTGGTTTTACTTTCTCCAGGACAGACCTGTTTGATCTCTTGGCAGTTCATACTCTTCTCCAGATCCACAACTCAAGGGCGTCAATTCTTCTATCTTCCTTAGTCATTGTCCAGCTTTCTGATGCATAACAAGTAATTGCAAAGACTATGGCCTGAATTAAGCACACCTTAGTCTCTAGACTGACATTATTGCTCTTTCGAACTTTGGAGAGGTCCCTGACAGCAGACTTCCCCAGTGCAATTCAACTTTTCATTTCCTTACTGTTGGTGCCCAGACTGTTGAGTGCAAAGCCAAGAAAGCTGCAATTGTTAACAACCTCATTCTCTTCTCTGTCATGGTGCTGCCAACTAGCACACTGTTGAGAATCTTTGTCTTCTTGATGTTGAGCTTCAATCCATATTGAAGATATAGTCCTTGACCTTTTGCAGCAAATGCTTTACGTCCTACTCAGTTTTGTCAAGCTAGGTTGTATCATATGCATATCGAAGGTTGTTGGTGAATCTTCCTCCAATACTTATACCACATTCCTCCTCATGAAGTCCAGCTGTATGATCTGTCATATAGATGGAAAAAGGTATGGAGACAGGATGCCCTCCTTTCCCAATTTTGAACCATGCAGTGGTTCTTGCTCTGTTCTGAGAACTGCTTCCTGGCCCAAGTATAGTTTTTGTATGAGCCAAATCAAGTGTTCTGGATTTCCACTCTTCTCAAGGTTAGCCACAATTTGTGATTCACACAATCAAATGCCTTTTCATAGTCAATGAAACACAGATAGACACTTCTCTGGTACACTCTGCTTTCAGCGAAGCTCCACCAGACATTAGCACTAATTCTCTAGTGCTACAGCCTCTTCTAAATCCAGCTTGTATTTCTAATGTATTGTTCCAGTCATTTTTTTTATAATCTTCAGCAGGATTTTGCTTGCACATGATATTCATGATATTGTTAGAGAATTTATACACTCTGTTAGGTCACATCTTTTTTTTTTTTTTAGAATGGGAGCAGGGAAGAAGATCAGTAGTCAGAAAACATGGACCTAGTGACAGAAATGAGGCTAAAGACTGATAGAATTTTGTACAATCAATGATTTATTCATTGCAAATACCTCTAATAACAAACATAAACAGCAACTACACACATGGATTTCACCTGACAGTATGCACAGGAATTAGGCCGATTACATCTGTGGAAAGAAATGCTGGAGAAGCTTAATATCAGCTGTGAAAATTAGGCTAGGTGCTGATTGTGGAACAGACCAGCAACTACTCATATGCAAGTTCAAAATAAAGCTAAACAACATTAAATCAAATCCACAGGAACCAAAATTTGACTCTGAGTCTATCCCACTTGAATTTAAAAGCCATCTCAGGAACAGATTTGAGGCCTTGAACACTAATGAACAAAGACCAGATGAATTGTGGGAGGATATAAAAAATTATCATCCATGAAGAACGCATAAGGTCACGGAAGAGGAGGAAAAGACCGAGATGGAGGTCAGAGGAGACTCTGAATATTGTACTAGAGCACTGAAGAAGCCAAAGCAAAAGGGAAGAAAGCAGGAACTTGAAGGAGCTGAACAGGTTTCAAGAAGTATCAGCAGGGAATAAATTATTGATTGTACAAAATTCTATCCTATGACCTTGATAATCTCTTTCACTCAGATTATAGTTTCCAACTACCAGCCCTTCTTTGCCTCCAACTTTTATGTTCTAGTCACCAATTATTATTGATGCATCTTGACATTTGATCAATTTCTAGCTACAAAAACTCATTGCTA